ATATATATATATATATATATATATATACACATACATACACACACATACACATATACACACACACAAACACACAGTATATATATAATTCTGTCTCTGAGCTCTTCAGGCAGTTCCTTTGACCTCATGATTCTCATTTGCTCTGACATGCACTGTGAGCTGTAAGGTCTTATATAGACAGGTGTGTGGCTTTCCTAATCAAGTCCAATCAGTATAATCAAACACAGCTGGACTCAAATGAAGGTGTAGAACCATCTCAAGGATGATCAGAAGAAATGGACAGCACCTGAGTTAAATATATGAGTGTCACAGCAAAGGGTCTGAATACTTAGGACCATGTGATATTTCAGTTTTTCTTTTTTAATAAATCTGCAAAAATGTCAACAATTCTGTGTTTTTCTGTCAATATGGGGTGCTGTGTGTACATTAATGAGGAAAAAAAATTAACTTAAATGATTTTAGCAAATGGCTGCAATATAACAAAGAGTGAAAAATTTAAGGGGGTCTGAATACTTTCCGTACCCACTGTATATTAAACAGTAAGTCCAGAGAACTAAAACATGTTGTTACTTGAATAAAATAAATGTCAATTGAAATATCACAAAATATAAAAAACTTAAACTTATTTTTTTTATTTCAGCTAGTTTCCAAGACTTGATGTACTAAAATGACTAAAAATGATATAAATTAATAAAAACTATAAAGACATATATAAAAACAACAAAAAATAATAAAAATGACAAAAAAACACAAAATTTCTAAAAATAAAATTAACATGAAAGCAGAAAATATATTCATATTCAAAAAATTAACAAAAACTATAATATTATCTCAGTGATACTAAAACAACAATGGATCATAACTGTACTATGGTGATAATGGAGTAATGAGAATTTTGGTGCTTAAATGTGATTGAAATTAAGTCTATTTTAGGACCATTAAGATTTTTTTCATGATGAAAATATAATTTCTCTTAATGTCCCTGTACATTCAGCCATAAAGCAGTTTTCAGATGGATTTCATTATCAATCGCTCATTATTCAGTGTTTTCATGCATCGAGTCATCTCAGGCCTGTGTGTGTGTGTGAGAGTGAGAGTGAGAGTGTGTGTGTGTGTGTGAGAGTGAGAGTGTGAATGAGAGTGTGTGTGTGTGTGTGAGAGTGAGAGTGTGAATGAGAGTGTGTGTGTGTGTGTGAGAGTGAGAGTGTGAATGAGAGTGTGTGTGTGTGTGTGAGAGTGAGAGTGTGAATGAGAGTGTGTGTGTGTGTGTGAGAGTGAGAGTGTGAATGAGAGTGTGTGTGTGTGTGTGAGAGTGAGAGTGTGAATGAGAGTGTGTGTGTGTGTGTGAGAGTGAGAGTGTGAATGAGAGTGTGTGTGTGTGTGTGAGAGTGAGAGTGTGAATGAGAGTGTGTGTGTGTGTGTGAGAGTGAGAGTGTGAATGAGAGTGTGTGTGTGTGTGTGAGAGTGAGAGTGTGAATGAGAGTGTGTGTGTGTGTGTGAGAGTGAGAGTGTGAATGAGAGTGTGTGTGTGTGTGTGAGAGTGAGAGTGTGAATGAGAGTGTGTGTGTGTGTGTGAGAGTGAGAGTGTGAATGAGAGTGTGTGTGTGTGTGTGAGTGTGCGTGAGTGTGAGTGTGTGTGTGTGAGTCCATACAGAGCTGAGCATGATGGATCTGTTCTGTTCTGACCGACACGAACAATAGAAGCTCAACTCTAAACAATCGGCCTGGAATTATTCTAGCCAGGAAACAGACACTCGGCTCTGACGCACAGGACACACACACACACACACACACACACTTAAAATAGATCCAGGACAGGCTGGATTCTGATTCTAGAGTCTGGACAGAGAGAACGCTCACACACACACTCACACACAAACACACACACACACACACACACACACACACACA